AAAAATTCACAACCTTTTTTTTCCATTATGTAAGCAATATTACGACTTAAAGTGAGAAGCTAAAAATAATTTTAAGAACTTCCATAAATATTCGTTTCTCGAAGCGAGAGTTTTTTTGTTTTTTTTACACAAGACGTGGATACAGGACGTCAAAACAAATCTGGTCAATGTTTTATTAATTGCTCTGCTCTCCCATAAAATCACAATGGAGAATACAGAGCGCGGCCTAAAGAAGACGAAGTAATTACGAAAACTAACGTCAAGGTGATCTCTCCCGAGGCTCTAAAATGTTTTCGCTAAAGCTTCCCCAGCGTACGCTCACAATGGTGTCAGGTGCGCCAGCACCCGGCCGCTCTTTATAATCCCTTACGTCCTCCAACTCGATTTCGCTAAGCTAGGGGAAGGACGGACTCGACAGGTTTGTTGTTCCCTTCTGCCCTTCGATGAGCCTTGACTTTCCTCTAAACTCCGGTTCACAGCCGTGTCATCCCGTACCCTTATGGCGTCACCGGCAACGTGGTACGGCTACGGGTGTTGTAAAAAAAAAAAAAAAAGTCATAAAAAATACAAAAAAGCAACAACTAGAGGTTCAGGGCGAGGGAAAAGTCACTGGGGAGGGGGAAGCAGGCGGAATGGTGGATAGAAGGGATGTTCCTTCCTCTCCGCTCCAGCAACCCGTCTGCTTCCTCCTCCCGTCCTACCTTCAACGGCGTGCACCAGTGTCACTTGTTCGTGACTTCCAAGACATCTACAAAAGTGATCGTTGTTGGTGGCAGTCGAACAGAGAAAGGAGTGCGCCAAGCGTTTTTAGAATCGGCCCTCAAGGTGTTCGTCAACGAGACTGATGATTCAGGTAAGATGTGGCGCTTCATATTTCTCTTAGTACAAATTGCTTAGAGCGCACTGGTTCCGTCAAATTATATTTAAGGCCATCGGAATAGTCTGCTGTCGACTGGTGTTATAGTCGAATAATTCGTGCTAGAAAACAAAAGTCGCATAGTCAATGGCTTGCCGAAATTGGCGAGCTCATGTTGTAAGCAGAAATATTCTCGGAACATTTATTTAAGTTCCAAAATGTTAAATACCGAAATATTGACATAGATATTGGCTTGTCTAGAAAATTCTTGCCTAAATAAAAAGACTACAAAATGAAAGTGCTTTCAGGGGAAATTCAGTAAACCATTTATGTATTAGTCTTTCAAAGCATCTCAATCGCTTGGTTACTAGTAGGGCTAAACGTCGGTAAAAAAACATGTTAGCACGATTAAATATTTTCTCTTATTCACTTAACTAATTGATTAATCGGCTTCGTTTATTACCATGAATAATAGACTAAAAAAGTCAAAATGGGATATTTTGCTTTCGCTGAATATTGTTATAAACGGCGCAATATACAATTCAGGACTTTAAATCAACCTTGATGTGTAGTTGAAATCAGCCAAAAGGCATTCACACTCCCAATTTATTACTCCAGCCGCGGAGGCAAAGAGGTTCCTTCATATTCTCCGGCAATAGCGAACTGCTTTGATTATGCGCTAAACGGACTCTCGCCAGGCGCTGAACGTTACTGGGACACGTATAACTTCCACTTGCATTATGGCGAAGACGTGTTTATCGTTGGTGATCTGTTCAGGACTTTGAGGGAATGCGAAGAGATTGTTGTTTTATTCACTAGGTAGTAGGGTCCTTATTTTATCTATGCTTAACATCTACTATATTCAACCTTTTACGCTTCTTCAGATTTATACTAATTATTTCTAAGAACAATATTAATTTCAGACAATCATTTTTGTTTCCACAGATTCTCAACAAATTTGAGCAGCTCAGTGATAAGATGCCTTATGAAAGCCTCACTGTATTTTTCGAGTCAAAGTACTAGCAGATCCTTGAACTGACATGGAGAAGGTAGGCTCACGAAGGACGCCTCGCTATTCCTCAGACATGAGCAGCTGGAGCAGAGTATAGCTAAAGCAACCGATCAAGAAAACCTACCTATCACAAAAATGCAGCGAAACTCGTGTCGATGTCCTCACAGAATACGCGGTGGGTTAATCACTTTGACCTACAGAGCTCTTCAAGCGTATGACGCAGCTCATAACACTGTTTAAATCGAAAACGCGATCTGCGCAGGACAATATTTTCCTTTTCCTGTGCGTGCCTGGCGGGGTTCCTTACGAGTCCTGACAAATTACGAAGTTAAACTGGCCCAGTTTTCTAGCTTAGTACATGACCAAATCGTGTGCGACGTTTCGAGAATTGGCGTTGCACTAATTGGGTCCAAATTGAGCTAAATTCATATTCGAATTATATGCATCCCCTAAACATGTGCCCGCTTCGTACTAGGCACATGAAGGTCATATGTATGTTAAAATAATTTAAACACTACCTGTTCACTTCATCTTGTGATATGTGAGCATTTGGTGAAAGGCCTCAACAGTCCATGCAAAGCTGCGAACATCAAAATCATTACGTGACATTAAAAAAAAATTATGCACTCACACAGCATAGGGAAGCAGGCAATCTCTGATTATTATATCTAAATATGAAAAATAATAGAACGTATAATCATGACCCATGTGTGCATACTTTTTTAAGTGCGGTACTTTATTATATTGCAGGTTCCAGGAGAAAGACAAACTCATCTGACGGTCCTATTCTCTACAGAGGACGCCTTCTATTCTGCAGCTGTCCTAGTCCAGGTGGAGGACCTGTCGGTGGATGTTGGCGACGTCATCCATGGCTTCAGCCTCATAATCTATTGAACTTTGGATATTCAATATGCAACGGGGATCAAGTCCGCCTTGGCTCTCTTTGAACGTACGATCGGGCTGAAAGAAACACCACTGGAAAAGGTTGCCCTGAAGCTTCTTGGCAGGCTACAAGCTTTTAGTAATTATTTTTTAAGCTTTTGACCTGCATCAAGTTTTTGATTTTACAATAAAAACGTGGTTGACAATATTGTTGGCTGACATGACTGGCAGGACTTTTTTTCAAATGTCTGGATTGTGTGTTTCTAGAAGTTTTCAGTTAAATTTTGATGCCGGCACGTTGCCCGTGGGTATTATTCTCTTATCCCTGAAACCTCCTCGAAGTGCCTCCTTAAGGAAATTGACACGCAAAGAATTCAGAACTCTCTCGTATGACAGCTGGCCTTAGGAATCATCGCCCCTCCAGCACACCTGAACAAGCCAGTTAGCTGAGTTTCGGGGTCTGAAAAAGTGCCTTCACTATTTGGAGCTCCGCGATACCCATGGTGTACAAAAGCGACCCCAAAAGTGGGGAGTCGCGGAAAGCCTCGAAGGTTGTGTATAGTGTCTGACAACACTCGCAATTAGGGGGATCATGCGGGTCTCTATGTATAAAAACGGGCACCACACAGCACCCAATTTAGGGGCGATCAAGTGATTCCCTGAGAGTTGTAAGCGGTACTAAATAATGCCTGGATTTACGGGTGTCACATGAGTACCTGGGTGTCACAAAAGGCGCCAAAAAGCACCCTATTTAGAAGGTATTCGTTGACTCCCTGAGAGTTGAAAATGGTTTCATATAATTCCTCTAATTAGCAGTGTAATATAAGTACCCGAATGTAACAGAGGGCGCCTAACAGCACCCGAAGTAAGGGGTGTCGGTTGAGGCCCGTGGACTTTGAGGGGGGTGCTAAGTGATCCCGTATATCTGGGGAGTACTTGAATTCCCCAACTTGAGAGGATACCACAAACACCCCAGGGGAGTCACATATGGGACACGGTCTAACTCCCCTGAGGGGAGTACCCGTATACACCCTTTTTTCTTAGAGTGTGGGCCGCGGCGCCCGAACACACGTGTGCTGGGCTGTACACGTCTGTATTTTCGTTCTTTTTTCTTCGGGCGCGTGAAAGCCGAAATCAGCCCACTCGTCGAACAGCGTTCACCCACACCTTCTCCAATTTCCGGTCCGTTGAAAACTTGTGAAAAAGCACCTCCGGTTGTGCAGCGGGTTGTTTGAGCAGCCCACAGCACTACACGTACTCGGCATCTTTCGAGGAACAGCTGGGCAGTCTTGGGCGCACCAAGTTGCTCGCTAACACGAGTCTTGGAGCCCTCACAAGCAAATAAACAAAAGTCTATAACGAAGCTACACGGGCTACAGATAAAAGCAACGGCTAATCACGCCAATCACAAGCCGAAGTAGCGGTGGTAGCGGCTCAAAGAAGCACGCTCTGCGCGACGCCCGGACCGGAGGAAAAAAAAGAGACGATACTGACGTCACGGCCCAATGTTGTTTTAGCGATCGGCAACTCGCTGGCCGCCCGCTAAGGAGCAGCGGCTCGAGGCGGGTCGAATTTTTATTATCGGCATTAGTTGAGAATGCGGCGTCCCACGGACGTAATATTTTGGCTGGAGTCGTATTTCCAGTCTCTACAGCGATAGCAGTAATTTATTTCATTTTGAATTTTGGTCGGAGTTGCCCTTTCAGCGAGCGCAATCTTTTCACACGCAAAGCAAATACTGCGATCATATGCAAGCTACTGTAATGACAGCATGTTATATTTAATATTGAGAAGTCCAAAATTGTCAGCAAGCAGCGGTACATCACGACTACTGCTCACCGGAACAGCCCGTATCCACCACCTCTTGGCGCTACCATCTTACCTGTGACGCCACGGCTCTTGTGAGGTCCCGAGACGAGTAGTCACTTTTTCGCACAACATGGCGACAACCGTGGCCCGTGCGCTACTTTCTAAATTCCAGTTTATAGCATTAAGCCACTGTGCCTCGTTAATAACGCCCCCCCCACCCCTTTTGTACAGGTGGTTTCCGGAAAGTGGCGTCTACATATCAGCGATGCGCATGTTTCGTACAGCTGCGAGCATTTGAAGCGAAAATGTAGAAACATTTGCTCTCTTGCGGGTGTATAGGTGATACGCGTATACTACGAAACAGTCGGCGCCCTCGTTGATGCGCTCCAGTCTTCGTCCGGGAATGCGTCCGCAAGCTTGGAGTCTCCTAGAGAGTACACCATGTCTGAGAAGTCGCCTCGTACGGTCCACAAGATAGCCTTGGTTGTTTTGTGCGCAGCAATAGTTGCCTCGCTGGTATATTTTGATTGGTTCCGACGGCCACCTTCTTGCACAACGTCATCATCCGGGGGCACGACCAGAGAGCAGGTAATGCGCAGTATTGTTGCTCTATTCACTGGCAGGGCGGGAACGGCAAGGAGGTCCCTCAGTTGTCCCGCCTCCCGAGCGAACTGCCTACCTTCGATTATGCTCTGAGCGTCTCGTGAGCTTTGAGAGTGCACACGCAGCCAAAGCACGGTGGAAGGCAACGGCCGGCGTGCATTCAAAAAACGCCCTGCTTTCTCATCCTGCCAGTGACCATAGAGGCATTCCGATTCCAATTTCTTCTGCAGATCTTTCAAAAGTAGTCCTGACGGAACTCTTTTGAATGAACCTTGCGTTGGCCGTTTTCGCATTTCATGGGTATTCTTTCATACCATACAAAATTCCAGATCTCGGTGCCTAGAAGCGTCAATGAAGTCGACGTGAAAACATTCGACCCTAGATTAGGTACTGGATAATGGCGAGTTTTAAAGTAGGGGGCCCTAAAGCTTTGGGTGCCCCAAACAGCTTGGGGCGTCCCACTGCGCATGCGCAGGACTTCTGCGCATACCCACTACGATGCCCCGAGCTGTTTGGGGCATCCAAAGCTTTGGGGCCCCCTATTCTAAAACTCGCTAATAAGAACCTTTCGTAGATTGTACGGAACAGCTTTACGTTGACAGCGGGAGCACGTGACGATTTTTTGAGCACAGATTGAGCACGCGCGCGCAAGGCCCGCAATCCGCAGTGTGCCATCTACGAGGAGTGTTGTTTTTCACTTACCGTGTCTATTGTTAATTAGGTATTTATTTATCTTTGTTTGCACAGACTTTCAGACGCAGCGACGATGACTTCGCGTTCAGAGCAAGAAGAATCAGGAAAGTGTGTCGCACGCACCAGGCAACCTTGGCGGATCACAACAGACGCTTTCTCAACCGCAACGTCAGCTGCGAGCAGCCCGTGTTCGCCAACAACCGAGAATGTACCTTCATCATCGACCCCGCAAGGAAAGTCGGCTACTGCTTCATCAGCAAAGTTGCATCCACCACAATCCAGACCCTTTTCGGGCATCTGCTCAACATCAGCCACATGGGAAACACACTTGAAAGCATACACGGGGCCTTTCATGAGAAAGTCCACACAGTCTCACCCATGACGTTTCTACAGAGGAGCAGCCAGGAGAGCTACACAACCGCCATGTTCGTGAGGCACCCCTTCGAGAGGCTAGTACCCGCTTACGTGGACAAGGTGATAAGACCACGTGGTGGCAGGGTCTATTTTTATGGACGATACTTTAACGACGTGCCTGGCGTCAAGGAAACGGGCCGGAACTTGACCTTCCCGGAGTTCGTCGATTATATACTGAATCAGTCGGTGAACGAGATGAACTCTCATTGGACTCCGTACTACGTGACGTGCCAGCCTTGTGCCGTCAAGTACGAGGTCGTTGGAAAGCTGGAGACAGGAAACAGGGACTTGGCGCTCTTCTTTGAAGCGCTGGGTGTTCGGCTCGAGGATATTCCGCAGAAAAACAAGGGTGGCCACCACGGGTTCCGCAAGGCTGCCCGAGACTTTTTTAACGAGCTCACTTCCGACCAGGTGATGCGTTTATATGAGCGCTTCTTCTTCGACTTCGAGATGTTCGGGTACGACTTCAGGGACTATCTGCGCTAAGAGTGTACGCGAAACCGAAGGATAAGGTCAACTTATTTCTAAGAGAGTTTTTCAAGGACACTGCCTCGACAAATCTGCAGTAGAGAAAACGATGAATCGTGCCTGAAACCAATAAAGTTTTTTTTTCTTCAAATGTGTATTCAAAAGTCAGATTTCCTGAATATTATATAAATCTAGGCAACTTGAGTGAGCCAGCTGCATACAAATACTGTCTTATATGTTGACCCATTCTCTATATTGTATACTGACAATGCCTCTCTAATCGCCGGTTGCCAGCTATCACACACCACAAGGACACGCAGCTTCCCTATACAATACAGAAACTGTGAACGACGTGATTAAGCCTCCCCCGTGCGCTGTATCCTTGGTGCTGTTTTTCACATTTGTCGTGGTTGCTGTGGGCAAGAACCTCCCGGGGTCTGTCATTTTATCGGGCCCCAAGCTAACTATGGACCATAAACAATTACTGAAGCTCATTTCGAGGAAAGACTGCGCCTCAATTCTACCTCCTGCCACTCAAGAGTATGCGGAATTCACCTTTTTTGAGGCGAACATTAGGGATGGCCAGTCTGGTCCCCCTTGGTGCATCCTGCCGAGGTTTCACTCAAAGCCCAGCTTGGCTCAAGCCTCCCCAGCGTCAATGCTGGATCAACCCATGTGCCCCTGCAGGTTCTCTTTCGGCGCTGCTTGACGGGCGCCTCTAAGTGTTCAACTGTCCACATCTTTCTCGCGCACCTCGAGTAAGTGACGGACGCCTGACGCCAGGCACAATGCATTTTTCCTTAAAGGATCTGTGCAACGATATTCACTTGAAATGTTTTTCACCTTACACGAGCTTACTGGCACTAGTGGGACTCAAGGGTACTCGCACGCAACGCCAGTGTCCAAGAAACTCCTTCGTTGCGGTGTAATTTCAAGGACAGAAGCTATCATTTTCATTCAATCCCTCCTTTGCAAAATTTCATGACGTAACGTAGGGATCGCAGTATACCCAATGACGATATTTGAATGCGGTTCATAGATTGGACTCGAGCATTGCGTGGGCACTTGAGTTGGGATCGTGATAATTACTATACTCTGTTTCACCCACTGATCTCTATGACAATTGCTGGATCGCGCTTCCCCGCTTGTTCGCTGCAGCGCAAGTGAAGCCACCGGACTTCACTCGCTTGGGATACGATTTGCCGTTTTTGCTAGCCTTTGCTGCGGTTTTCCAGCGTGCTGTAGACACGTTTTCTACTCGTTCGTCGTCATTCGCCGAAGAAGTTTTTTGAAGACTCTGTGTATTGTTGAGACTTGCCGTTGTGAACACGTGGAAAATTTTACGAAAGTGCAGTGTCGCAGGAAAAAGGCACAACGCGTCGAAAGGAAGGGCTGGCGGCGTGTTCAAAGCTTCCTTGGCACGCCGAAGTGCCGTGTCTCTGTGCCTTCGCACGCTTGGATACCGACCAAGAACCGACGCCGTGTGTATGTGTTTAGCGAGTGCAATGTGCATGAAGCTGCTCGTGCCTCTTCATCAGCGTCTTTTCCCCTCGCGGTTTAGGAACGAGCTTAATCCAGCGTCCACTAGCGACGGAAGATGGGGGGAAGGTACGTCTTTTTTTCGTCCTTAGACGATTTACACAATACCGCGCACAACAGCTCCTCATTACTGATAAGTGCTGGCTTATTATCAACCTACTTAATTGCACTTGACGTTTGAGCGCGGCTCGCCTAATTGTAATTGGTCAACAGATTGCACACGACCATATCGGCCGCGCTTCAAAGATTTTCATTCTCGCCGTCTTGTACTTTTGCTTTCGAAAACCCCCTGACTCCACAACGTTGCCCTATTCGTGCTCCCACGGAATCTATTAGAGTAGATTTGGGACATAACCATGGTTAATATAGTACATAAGAACACGTACAGATCTCCCCCTTTTATTGATAGCAACTCACCGGAACAGCTGGGCGATCCAGAACTCCGTGGCCGATATATATACATGATCTAAAGGCATCTACGCGCGACACACGTTCAGAACTTTGGCGCGGTGTCAATTCTTGACCGGTATCGAAGCGTGCGAAGGCACAAAGATGCATCACTCGGCGTGCCAAGGAAGCTTTGATCACGCCGCAACACCGGCGACACGTTTTCGACGAGTTGTAGCTTTTGATACGGCTTCACGCACATTGCACTCGCTGAACACATTCACACGGCGTCGGTTCTTGGTCGGTATCCTAGCGCGCGACGGCACAGAGACACGGCACTTCGGCGTGCCAAGGACGCTTTGAACACGCCGCCAGCCCTTCCTTTCGACGCGTTGTGCCTTTTTCCTGCGACACTGCACTTTCGTAAAATTTTCCACGTGTTCACAACGGCAAGTCTCAACAATACACAGAGTCTCAAAAAACTTCTTCGGCGAATGACGACGAACGAGTAGAAAACGTGTCTACAGCACGCTGGAAAACCGCAGCAAAGGCTAGCAAAAACGGCAAATCGTATCCCAAGCGAGTGAAGTCCGGTGGCTTCACTTGCGGGAGCGGCAAGCGCGATCCAGCAATTGTCATTGAGATCAGTGGTTTCACCTTATGATGTACCGCACGGAAGGCTACAAGCGCGAGCTCCTTGCTCTAGGGCACATCTCGGCGGCACAAGCTCTCGTGCGTTAAGAGTAGCTCCCAACTCTATGAGCTCGCGCTTCTAGCCTTTTCTGCGGCACAACGTAAAGTGAAATGGAGTATAGCTCGACATGCATTCGGGTAGTGGCCCGTGTCCAATCGCTGCAACGACGACAGTAGCCGAGCCATAACAATGTCTGGAACTCAGCGCGTGTCCTGTGCTTTGCCAACCGCAGCGCGTGGCTAGGATCAACATTGGCGGCATATAACCGGTTCCAGGTCACGTGGCCGCTTGTTCTGGCTGCGAGTTGAGGGGGTGAACGCTCCTCGCTTTTTTTTTTAATTTTTTTCTGGGACTTCTATTGCGTGGGGTGAAAAACGAATGCGTGTTTCATAGGTCAATAATGTCAGGGATCCGTTCTAAACGGTATTTGCGCAAGGTACAAAAATTGTTGCATCGCCCCTTTAACGTGAGCCCCGGCACAGCTAACGCCTTCCACACTGCTTAGGTGACATCGAGAGATGGTAACCCCGGAAGACCTTGGCCGTTTCAATTTCTCGCCACCTTCTGCTCTTCGCCTGGTCCTTGGCCCCAGAATGAAAAAGTTCAGTGTTCGCTGTTTTAGTGAGTGAGTTATTGATAAAACAAGGTGGAAAAAGAGAAAATGCGAAAGGAGAGGTTAGCCTCCCAATGTGGGGTTATATTGCTCGCTCCGCTTTGGGATAGGAAAAACCAAGAGTGGTTAAGAAGAATAAGAAGAGGGCTAGTGCCTGAAATTCGGGGATGGAGTCGCGACGAGAGTTCCGCGGCCTCGAGGAAATCAAGGATCGCCTGGAAAACCTTAATCCCGGTCATTCAGATAATTCCTTTGTTCTGCATAGAGCCACTAAGTGAGCTACGCTTAGAGCATTGGCACTTTGTTCCCAGGTATTGTTGTGCGAGCCGCCATCTTGGTGCTCAGTGCAAAGCAGACCCAACTTCCGGTCGTCATGATTCAAAAGTGCAACTTCCTCAGCATTATATTCGGCGTTAGGAAGCTCATATAATATTGCCCTTTGCACTGTCGCAAAACGTTTAAACGTATCTGGAGGACGAAAAAGCGTTTTTGTGTTTTCACATACAGCTTCAAATGAATGTCAAATAATGATTTTAAACCGTACCTTTTGAAGCGCACCTTTTTAGTGGCTCGAGTGCATCGTGTTCTGGCCAGGCCCAAAAGATCTTCTGTAGACTTTCTGTCTCGTTGCACTGGGGACATTTTTGGAGAGTATACTCGTCAAATAAGGTGCAAACGAATGTAGATGTTTGCGCACCCAGTTCATAATTTTAGCAATAATAATTATTGCCCTTCGTGAATTTTTTTTTTTTTTTTAATGGTGACAGGTGGCAGTTTAGAGACCGTTTCGGAACGAGGGTGATTGGTTTGCACGGCTCTGTGAGTATTGTTTCGAGCACAGTTGTACGGGTCAATTTTTATCGTTTTTGATGCGTCGTCATGGGCTTTACTGGCAAGCAAGTCCGCTTTTTCTTTCCCGTGTACCCCTATGTGATTAGCTCCATTGGAAGTGGGTGGTGTTGAGTCCAGGTTCCCTGGGTTCTGAAACGCAAGTTTTCGCTCCACGTGCTTTGAGTCTTTGTGCGCGAGGCCGGACGGCCTTCGATCCCCTGCCGTAATTAATTATGGAAGCAAACACACAAATATTATAATTACACTGAAGGTGTAAAAGAAGATGATCGAGAGATTTTATTCGGATTTGAGCTTCGCTGTCGGAGGTTGACCTCTAGGGTAAGAATATGTAGCGAGCTGTCATTTTCGCCGCCAACATAGGAGTTTTGGCCAGTGCTTTAAAACACCAAGTCCAGTTTGCAACGCTGTCGATTGTTCTTGTATATTGTAAAGTAACTCCAATCCTCCGAGGTCTAGACAGCGCGACACGGTAATTACCGACTCAAAATCACATTCTACGAATGACAATTTTGTTCATGTATGTCCAAACAACTGCCGCGATTATACTTTCTCTGCGGAGTCCAAGTTCGTCTGCTTCTTTTGCAGGGGTTGTGGCGACGTCACAACGCCGACACTACGACGCCGTGACGTCGTAGTGTCGATGAAACGGCCTGCGGATGAAACGTCGTTCGACGAACCGATTGCCGACGCATGAAAGCAGGAAGTGCAAACACCTTAGGACGTTCTACCTCCTTCGTCATAAAGTGTTTACATACTAGTATGTTTGGTGAGGTGTTCCGATTCCGCGTTTCTTTGCAGTCGGTTCTACAACCTGCCCAGGTCATATATCCTAGCAGCGTTCCACGAACTGCCAGAAGCATGTTCCGCCTATCCTTCCGCGAGTACACAATGACGAGGCATGGATGGCTCAGCATCCTGGAGGTGGTAAGCAGA